CACAGAGAGGGATATGCCACATTTTGGTAGATATTTAAAAAAAGGTTTGCTAAGGTAAAAAATGCTTCAAACTACTGCAAATTTTACCCCATAGAGTTTAAATGCCTCATCTTTATTTGCAAACGTGTTCATTCTCAACTCTTTCACTTGCTCTCAATCTTCAATTAATGGTATACCATTTGCACACAAACACTCAGTTGATTGTTGGAATGAACAACTAACCTGCTCTCCTCCATGATCACATGAAATGACCAATTATTTGTCTTCGGCCTCATATAAAACTAGATATAAATAGGATTGAATGAGTGCATCAACGTGCTGCTGCAATGATTAGTAGGGCATGAGTCTTAGACAAGTTGCCAGGGAAGCATCAAACTAAGAAGTGATCTTCTGCTTGCTGGTAAATGTACAGGCTTTGGTAGCAAATGTATGTGCTTGTAATTCTTATTGGAAGAAGGCTCTGCACAGGATGTGTATTCACTGATAAGCAGCAAATCACAGGGTTGTCACATGACAAGGAGGGGAAATTTGAGACTTAGCCAGTACTTAACAGACCAATATTAGTATAATTCTAGTGACAGATGCTTGTCACTTTCAGCACCTCGGGACGTCTCCCCGACGTGAAAGGCGCTGTACAAATGTAATCTTGTTGTTGTCTGTTCTTTCAGAACAGAAAATGTGTATGTGAGGACAGAGAGAGAAAGAAACCCTTCGGTCTACTTCAAACAACTGGAATTCTTTTTTTATAAATTTTACTTTTTTTTAAAGTAAAACATTTGCCACCTAAACTGATTTTGTCTGAGAAACAACTTAATTCTGTAATGGAAAAAGAATAGGGATGGTATTCTAGAAGGATGAGTGTTTTCTATCGAAAGGTCTGCACATTGCACTTTCATGATGCCATTTTCACAATGGCACCAGGGAGCAATTTATAATTTGTGTGTCTGCCTGGCTCAGTTGTTAGTACTTTTGCCTCTGAGTCTGAAGGTTGTGTGTTCAAGCCCTTGTTGGGTCNAAAAACCCATATAGTCTAAGATGACACTCCAATGCAGTGCTTGGGGTATGCTGCATTGTCAGAGGTGACGTCCTTCGGATGAGATTTTAAACTGAGGTCCTGTCTGTTTGTTCAGGTGGATGTTAAAGATCTCGAAAAGAGAAGGGAGCTTATCCGAATGTCCTGGCCAATAATCCCCCAAATAAAATTTGTCACTCACTCAATGGCTGTATGTGAGATATCGCTGTGCACATATGGGTTCTGCAATTGCCCACAAAATACAAAACAGCCATAACACATCACAGAATATGCTGTAAAGTACTTTGAGATGTCTCGATGATATAATAAGGCACTATATCAAATGCAAGGATATTATTAAATTATTATGATTATGTTATTACAGTGTAAATCACTCCGTAGATGTAATTTCTAAGTGTTTTTCAGTGATGGGTCAGCCAGATCAATACCACTGCCACTTTACATATGAATGGATGTTACTTTTCTTAATATATTTGAGCTTCCTATAATAGCTACATTAAGGTTGATATTTGTTCACCAGGTATTTTGTCAAACCACCTTTGAATAGTCTTATTAACAGTCTCAGTTGCACCAATGGCTATAGGTACTATATTTGTTTCATATTGCCACCAACATCCGCATTCAATTTGGAGATTGATATATTTCCTGATTTTCTCTTATTTTTCACATTGTACTCACTTAGGATAGTCACATCAATACAACAACAACTTGCACTTATATAGCATCCTCCACACAAGGTAGCATCTCAGAGCACTTAACAATGACGGAATCACTGTTAAATCTAGTTGATTCTTTATGACAATATCTGGTCTGTTACAGTTAATTGTCCTGTCTGTATGTGCTTGTGAATCTTAGATTATTGTAATGTTGTTTGAGCTCCAGCTCCCTCCAACTTGGGCTCTCAGACAGCTGTGTGGACTGCTTTGAGACATGAAAGGCGACATATTAATGTAAATTGTTGTTATTGTTGCTGTTGAAGATAGACAAACATTTCAGATTGAATTATTTTACATAATGAGTGGTAATTTATGTAGAATAGGGAGAACAGATTGTGTCAGTGAATTCACAAAGCTATTTGACAAATACTGTAATTTAATTGAGAGATATAAGAAATAAGTTGTGAAGAAATATTTGTTTTACTTTTTTAAATTTAGGTCCAGGTGGACTGCAAGAACCTTTTCTGGTTCTAAATGTTCCTGTTTCTATGTAAATGTATACCAAAAGCGGTTTCTCAGCATTATACTGTTTCATCAACAAAAATAGCATTTATACAGCATTTTTGATATTGGGAGGACCTGGCAAAATGCTTTACAGATATAAGGCATTATATCAAATGCAAAGATTATTCATTATTATTATGGAGTTCCAGAGAATGGTGGCCAAATGGCAGAAATCTCATTCACCAATGATGGGGCGAGGGATATGATATCAGCCAGGTTTCTCTGAGCAGAGAGAGTGGCTGGATCAGAAGGATCAAGTGAGCATGATAGGTCACGTTACATAGCTTAAACTTTCAAGGCCCAAAATGCACATAGTCTTATCCAGTAATACATTTAAACTTGGCCTTAATGTAATAGACAGTTTTGGTAGTTCTTGAAAAGAACCAGAGCACTTTCTGTTCATTTTCATATTTGCACTCCTTGAATCAGACAAAAAAGAAGTGTCTTATTCATGACAGATGTATTATAGGATGGTACTGTTATTAATGATTATTAAAAGGTGTGCTGAAAGACGAGAATTTTGAGCTTGATGCAGCAACTTAGCAAAGTGATATGCTATGGAGAGCATTCTTTTTGTATTCTAAGAGCTTTTTCTGGGATGCAGGGCTTATCCAGATGCCTGCTTTATTGATCTACTATTTGATGAGTAGGTTTACTGTACTAAAGAACATTAAGAAGTGTGGAGTTTGAACAGGCCTTTCAATCAACTGAGCTGCTTTATTCAAAGAACCATACATGATTAGCACTCCTGAACTCTTTCCAACCTAGTTATTTTGCTGAAGCAGTCAAATAAATAATGATAGAATTCCATGAAGAGAATACTGAGAAATGCTTCCCTAACTCTGACAGCATTTCAGCAGTTCAGCATAATTCAGCCATAGTATCTGTGGAACCCAACAACCCATTGATTTCCACAGATGCCAATTCTAATGTTAATATGAAGAGCGAGATAATAATAATCCTTACATTTGATATAGTGCCTTTCATGTCAAGAGGATGCCTCAAAGCATTTCATAGGATGTGCTGCTAATATACATTCAAGTGGAATATAGACCTTCACATGAGGGAGAGGGGAATAGAAGGGTATGGGAGGGAGTAAGGAATGGGTGAAAACTCATGTGGAGAATAAACACCGGCACGGACTGGTTGGGCCAAGTAGCCTGTATCACCACATTCTTTGAAAATGTGGTGATGTGCATTTTGTAGGTAAGATACTGTTCCGTAAAATACTTTATCATCTAATCACCCCTAAAACTTCCGATTCCTTTCAAAACCAGATATTAATTATGTTGCTTCTCAAAGGAATCAATTGAGATGAGGTTAAATTATTTTAATGGTGGTATGGTTCACATAAGAAAATAAAGAACTTGGAGTTAGAGTGCCTTAACACACTGAAATGTCTCAAAGTGCTCCGCAAATAAATCCTGTCAAGTATAATGACTGTTTATTAGACAAATACAGCAGTTATTTGAGCCAGACAGTTACCACAAATCACCAGTTAACAACCAGGCATCTGAAAGATAATAACATTTCAGATGAAACATTAAACCAAGGTTCAGATGGATAATAAGAATTCATTGCGCCAGTGATCTGGCTAACAAATCCCCCAAATAAAATTGGACATTCACTTCATGGCTATTTGTGGGATATTACTTTGTGTAAATTATCTGCTACCTGTATAGGGTTCACCTACACATTCACAATCGCCACTACATTATATTCCGTGATGCACTTTGGGATGCCTTCCTGACATGAAAGTTCCAATACAATACAACTTTAAATTTATATAGCGCCTTGCATGAAAGGAGGACATCCCAAGGAGTTTAACAGTACTGGCTTGGCGCCTGCGCTGGGATTTGGAACTGTGGGATGGGGGTGGGGGGGGGGGGGGGTAGGGAAGGAGGGGAAGATAACCGAAAGTGTGGTCAAAAAGGTAGGTCATGAAACCCAAGGATTGTTTTAATACATTATCCTTTTGCATAATGTAACATCTACCAAATTATACTATTTTGATTGCTGAGAGCTGTGAGGATATTGGACCTTAAATAATGTCTTAATTCTTAGCATTCTTCGAACAAAAGCAAACTGTGCTGTTTTACCTTGTGAAACTGTTTGACTTTGCAAACATAGTTATGTTATGTTGCTGGAAGAGAAACACAAAACTATTGCTTATGCGGCTTACGGACATTTCTCAAATAGAGCATCCAACCTTCAGCAGCCAAAAGATTGGGCCACCCTCTGTTAAACCATTCCTAAGCATCTTCTAAGATTAAAGATATAGTTTAAAAATAGGATAATATAATAATCATCATCCTTACAATGCATACATCACTTTATTGCAGGCAAATGTGGCAAACAATTTATGTGCAGCAATGTCCTTTTTATAAAAGCAGTTCCCTAGATGTTAACCTCGATCTCTGTCACTCTGGGCTATCATGATTTAAGTTCTTATCATTGACATTATGGGAAAGATTAATAGTAGTAGCTTGCTATGGCTTTCCCCCTTTATCTCTGCCCAGTTCAACAAATGGAACAAAAGTGCAGGCATACAGAACTGGCAAAGGTACAGTATGTAACCCCTTGTGTTTGTACAGGTTTGGGTTGGGAAGGGGAACAGCTAAAACCTAACAGTACTAACTCAATCTCTTAAATAAACTCTTTTCAGAGATTGGACAATGACACACATGCATGCACTGTATTCAGAAAGCCACACTCATTTGTACTTAATTCTTTTTACTTAAATTTAGGTTCACTGGTCAAGCCTGATCCCAGTCCATTGCCTGAAGAGATGAGATTGAGCGATCCAGTTGAAGCTGCATCATCAGATTCTGCTAGCTCATCTGTATTGGTGATTCCCAACAGGATACAATGTAAAGTAAGTTAGCCTCCCAGGGCTTGACTTTGTCCAAAATAGTGCATGAAATTAATCTCAGTTAATCAGAACTGATGAATATATAGGATACTCGCTAAAGTACAGTAGTTTTACCAAAGCATTTAATTGACCAATCAAAATTGGAAATTGCACATCTCACACCGCACATGGTACTGATTTACAAGATTGGTTTGGATGAAAATATGATCTCTTCCTTCTAAAAAAACCCCCACCCTACTGTCCCCCATCAAGCTGCTTTTTAAATTAACCCAATCTCCTGACCTATCCCATCTTTCCTGGCAACGTGTCGATTACTCTTTGCAGCCTAGTGAGTTTTGAAGACTTTCTTGACTCTGGTAAAATTTATTTGCAAGTTATTTGGGTGAACATGTTAAGCTTTTAAAATATATATATATTTGGAGCATTTGAGATGTGAATGGCCATGTTCTGCAGTCCAATGTACAAAAATGGACACGACAGTAGAAGAAGAGATCAAAAATGGCATAAATAGATTTAAGATAAAAGGGGAAATATAATCAATAAACTAACCAAACTCAGAGAGGATAAAATCCCTGGTCCAGATGAATTGCATCCGCGTATATTAAAAGAATCTAGATAGCAGAAGCACTATTACACGCATAATAATTCATTAGAAAAGGAAGTAGTGCCAGAGGACTGGAGGATAGCTAATGTTACACCTATATTTAAAAAGGGAGATACAACAAGCCCAGGGAACTATAGATCTGTCAGCTTAACATCGGTGGTAAGAAAGATAATGAAATCCTTACTGAAAGAGGTAATAGTCCTGTAACTCAGTGGTTCGAGATCTTGCCTCACAAGCAAGAGATATGGGCTTGATTCCCGGCGGGGAAAAACCTTGGGCAAATTTCCTTACTCCACACGCCTGATAATCTCTCAACAAAAAAAAACAATAACAAATTGGTCACTTCAATCCACACCTGTTTGTGGGACACTGGTGTCTGCAATTGGCTGCGTGTTTCGCTCACAAATATACAGTCAATTCACTTTACAGTATATTTCTGTGAAGCGCTTTGAGATGTCTAGAAGACATGAAAAGTGCTATATCAAATGCAAGGATTATTATTGTTTATTATAATACAGTTAGCAATGTGCTATGTGGCACTATTCCTTCAAATGATAAGATGATACCCCCCCTAAAAAGGATGAGCAAAAATCAAAAGGTTTGTAAATTTCACCTGAAACCTGCAATGTTTTATCATCTGGAAACAAGCCTCTGTGCGTGTTTTTCCATATAACATAGTCCAATGCCAGACACTCATTGTGGATGTTGTAACATTACAGCACAGAGCACATTAGCTGTCAGTACTTCACAGGGTGCATACAAGTTACAAATTGGGCAGAAACCAAAGCAAATCTATTTCTACAAACAGTGCATTGTATCACAGGAGAAGGAATGCCAGGGAAGACTAAGAGATTTGAATCTGCAATCTTAGCTCTGGGCTTAGATGAAGGCTGCATTGTGAATGGTCAACCCTCACTATTGTACTTTGCAATAATGGAAAATGCTTGATAATATTAATGCCTTGTGATCACCCACTCCCCATTTCTATTATGGTCCACAAAATACATTTGAAGTATGTGATTTCCCCGGAGTCGACTGTTGATTACAACTCAACAACAACAACTTGCATTTATATAGCACCCTTCATGCAGGGTAGCGTCCCAGAGTGCTTGTCAGCGGTGGAGTCTGACACCAAACCAGGGTGTGAGGGAAGGGGCAGGTTACTGTAGCATGATCAAAAAGGAAGGTCTTTAGGTGGGATTTGAAAGTTGGAGGGAGGGGGCAAGGTGGAGGGATTGAGGGAGAGAATTCCAGAGTTTCAAGGATGGGTGCCACATAGTGGTTAAAGGCATGGTCACCGATGGAGCGGAGGGGACGAGGGACGAACAAGAGTCCGGAATCAGCCGAGCGGAGACAGTGGGTGCTGGAGTGGGAGGTAAGCAAATCGGATAGGTAGGGAGGTGCGAGGGTATGAAGATATTTGAAAACTAATGAGAGGGTCCATTTTGTAATTGAGAGCCAGTGGAGCTGACAAGGACTGATGTGATGGGGGTACGGAGTTTTGTGAGGGTGAGTATCTGGGCGGCGGAGTTTTGAATTAATTGAATTTTGTGTACAGTGGAGCTGGGGAGACCTGTGAGGAGGGCATGAGAATAGAACAGCCGGGAAGTGACGAAGGGGGTTTCGGCTCCAGAAGGAGTTGTGCAATGTGACGGAGGTGGAAAAAAGCAGTCCTGGTCAGGGAACAGATGTGCAGTAGAAAGGAAACCTAGGGATCGAACCTGACGCCTAAGTTGCACCCATGTTCAGTCAGTCTGAGGGAGAGCCCGGGGAGGTTGAGGAGTTCAGACCCACCAGGAGAGAAGATATTGATGGGAGCCAAAGAGTATGGCTTCTGTCTTGCCAACATTCAGCTGCAGGAAATTTTCGCTCATCCAGGCCTTGATGTTCATCAAACAAGCTGACAGGACATCAGTGGATTGGGAGTCACAGCTGAAGGAGGAGAAATAGATTTGTGTTCATCTGCATACATGTGAAAGTTGATCCCATGTCTGTGGATGACATCACCAAGAGGGAGCATGTAGATAAGGAAAAGAAGGGGGCCAAGGATGGAGCCTTGGGTACCCTGCAGGTGATTGGGTGGTGCGGGGGGGAGGAAACACCATTTGCCGAGATGTATTGTTGGCAGTTGGTTAAGTAGGACTCAAACCATGTGAGTGCGGGCCCACTAAGGTGGATGAGGGAGGAGAGGCAGTGAAGGAGGATGGTAGACTGTGTCGAACACAGCGGAGGGATCCAGGAAAATGAGGAGGCAAAGAGAGTCCTGGTCACAGAGAAAAAAAGATGCCATTTGTTACTTTGGAAACTCAACAAGCTTCCAGCAATTACAACATGAATCTTCCAGTACATTAAAGGCATGGAAGAGACGAGCGTTTGGCTCTGTATCAATAACCACTGTTGCTAGGAAACCAGACTTGAAACTAATAAAAACACCCTTAAAATTAACAATAGATATTAAAACAATAACAGACAGTGTCATTTCAAGACTGTAAACTAATGGAAGGGTAGAGAATTACAAACTGGTGAAGCATCATTGTTATTGGTTATGATATCAGCTGAGTAATCATTGTGTCCTTTCTATTCTCTATGGATTCTCTATGTAATCTCTAATCTATATAAGCGCTAATAGAAAACATTAGACACCTCAGTTACAATATGCACTTATATTTTTCACAATAAATATTGCAAAACACACAGTTTGCAGTGATGTTACAAAGCTAGTAACATGAGGGTTTGGGATGATATAATAACTCATCAATGTTTTCCCAGATGGGTTTCTGCCCTGTAACATACTGTGCCTGTGATTAACCTTTATAACCTGTACATAGCATCGGTCACCCCCCTTCCCCTCCCCTCCCTTCTCCTCCCCCCCGACTCCAGCTCGGTTCTGAAATGCTATATAAATGCAATTTTGTTGTTGTTGTTGTTCCCTGATGGGACAACAGATAAAGCCATTGTCTAGTGTAATATAACCATACAAAGTCAGAAATTCCCAGGACTGATCCTCGGATTGTATCGAGTTGTCTGCTGCTATTATTAATCACAGTGGCATTTGGGCTAGTGTGAGGAAATCAATAGGGATTCCCATTGCTAATCCCTCTCCAATAGCCCATTGTTAGAAAGTGTGCCTGTTAGATGAGAACAGGCCAGACCTGATCCATTAAGCCATTCCCCAGCAAAGAACAGCATCTTCTCAGAGTAAGGACAGAGGTTAAAAATAGGACAAGATAATAACAATTATCCTCGCATTTGATACAGCAACTTATCACATGCAATTTGCATGCAGCAATGTCCCACAGATGACAAGAAGGGAAACAACCAATTTTATCTGCTTTTATCTGATTACTGTCCAGACACCAACAGAAACGCCCTTCTCTTTTTGAATTGTGAATTACTGATGACAGCCCAGCCTGGCTCATTAGCAGGACTCAGAGGTGCAGACCAGTCACTGGGATTTTTTCCACTCAGCTCCTTCTAATTCTGCAATCCGAGTGGAGTCCTGTAGCTCAGTGGTTAGAGCACTCGGTTTGCAAGCGAGACACCTGGGTTCAATTCCAGGCAGGGCGAAACCTTGGGCAAGTTCCCTTACTCCACACGCCTAATAATAATCCCTCCAAAACAAAACAATAATAAATTGGTCATTTTCAATCCACGACTGTTTGTGGGACATTGCTGTGCGCAATTGACTGCCGCGTTTCGCCCACAAATATACAGGCAATTCACTTTACAGCATATTCTGTGAAGCGCTTTGAGAAGTCTAGAAGACGTGAAAAGCGCTATATCAAATGCAAGGATTATTATTATTATTATTAAATCCTTAACAATTTAATATCCTTATTAAGGGTGGTCCTAACTGGACAAGTAGCAGGAAGCTTACTTTCAGTGCTATGGCAAGCAATGCAATTTTAGCTAGTTAAACTCTATCAGTTCTCCAACACACAATCTAGAGTCCCTGAGCTGTGCTGTGCCTATTACTCTCTGAAAGTAGGTAAGCAGTGAGAGAGTGCATATTCCATTCCAGACCCAAAGAAATTTCCATGTGTAGGTGGCATACATATGTGGAACTCTCAGTTTGGTTTGGCGACTCGAGCATTGTCATAGGTTTCCATGTGTGTCAGACACATGGATTGATCAAAACATCCAAAAAAGCATGAAATGCTCTGAGACGTTTTAATGTTACATACACTAAATCAATTGCAAGGATTATTATGAATATCATCACTCACCTCTTTACCTCAATTCTGTTCAAACAGCTCTGTCACTGCGCCGCAAGAAATGATAGCAGCAAAGAACTAACCAATACAGTACATATATTACAGACATCATTATCTGTACATAATGCATATGGTACTTAAAGAGTAAAATACCGATTGCTCTGGTATCCATCCATCATTAGAGGGCCAATTATTGATTAGGAACATTCAGTGGACTGGATGGTACAATGCTTTAGAGCTATTGCCCCTGAGCGACTAATGTCATTTTCACTCTCTTCAAAAGTGATAATGGTCTACAGTGGAAGTAAAACTAATACGGGGTGGGGTGGGGGGTTGGTTGGGGTGGGAGGTTGTGGGGAGAGCTGGTAAGGAGCAACAAAGCAGAGAATATAGTGCTCTTTAGAGGGAAACTGATGCCTTATGATCCATGATCATTGCTGTTTTGAATTCACAAGATATATGGTTCTGAAAAAAGCTGTTCCCTTTGATGTCTGTTAAAAAGGGATTCAGTGCTCTCAATCCACTTCTTGGTTCATCAACGTTCACAGCATGATGTTGTCCTAATTCACAGAATAGCACTCTCATGAATTGTCACTAATTCAGTCACTTCAGCCAGAAGATGAGTGTAGCACTGATGTAATGTGTGCATAAAGGATTCATGCCTGGGAGAGAGGGATTGATCTGAAGTGGCTAAGAGAACGACCCACAATGTAATCTTTCACCTGATTAGCAAGCAAGAGGCAGAAAGTGAGAGTGAAATAAAATTCCTTATTTAACAAGCAGGAATTATGGTGCATTTCAAATCAATTGAAGTCAAATGTCTGAGCTAATCTAGAAGTGTATTCATCCCTATTGCTTCTTTTATACTGTGGCTAAAACATTTAAAGTCCATTGGTGTCATTTCTGGGATACAAAGTGATATCGTCCAATATACCTTCACAAAATCACAAGATTAATTCAGATAAAGAAGATTCTTCAACCCATCTGATCTCATTCCTCCAGAATATCCACCCATCAATCCTAGCATTTCAGCATTAACCTGCCATTTAAATGAGTCCAGGATCCCTGCATCAACCAGTTTTTCTGGCAACCTGTTCCAGTCGTTAATTACCCTCTGGGTAAAGAAAACCTACCTGGTATCTGTCCTGAAATTGCTCCTCACAACTCTAAACTTATGTCCTCTTGTATTTTACTGTCTTGGTACATCCTGAAGTATTGTTCTGGGTTTACTTTTTCAATCCTATTTAAAATGTTATACACCTCTTTGAGTCATCTTCTCTCAAAACTGAAGAGCCCTAGCTGGTTTGGTCTCAACCAAGGGTATTCTCAAGCTGTAATGAACATTAAATTGTTCACAACGTAAAATTATATGGAATGATTATATTTTGCTTTCTTAACATATAGAATCCCACCAAAATGTTCATCCTGCTGAGAGATGGAACAGTTGGTGAAAACCCTGAGGTGGAATTCTTGGGGAGCATAAAGAAAGTCAAGATCCAAGCAACCGTATGGAACTCCCAAGCCATTTGTGTCCAAGCCTTGGGTAAGGTTTATATGCTACGCCACATATGGGGAAGGGGTAGTTGCGCAAAAACAGAATGTTCAACAGCAGTAAAGAAGAAAGCAAAAAAATCATAACTTTCCTTGCCTTTGATAAAGCACATCATCATATTCGAAACATCTCAAAGTGGATCACAGGATTTTTCTGGAAACTGTAGTGACTGTGTATTTTGTAGGTAAACATGGCAGTCAATTAACACTCATCACTGTCCCAATTTTATTTGGAGGATTATTGGCTAGAACATTGAGAGAAGCTCCATTATCTTTTCTGCTAGCTCCATGAGATTTTTAACATCCACCTGAACAGGCAGACAGGATCTCAGTATAATTCAGATGAAGAAGACCCTTCAACCCATCTGATCTCGTTCCTCCAGAGTATCCACCTATCAGTCCTAGCATTTCAGCATTTCAGCATTACGTCGGAGATTATGTCTCATCTAAAGGACAACATCTTTGACAATGCAGCATTCCCCCAGCACTACATTGGAGTGTCAGCCAAGACTGGGAGTTCAAAGTTCTGATGTGGGGCTTCAACTCTCAACCTTTTGACTCAGATTCCAGAGTGCTACCAGTAAGCCAGGCCGACATATAAATTGTCATTCATGATGCCAGAGGAATAGAGCTTAAGTGTCAAGAAGTGCTAGTCATCTTGTATGGCCTGGCTCCATCTAGAGCACTAATAATAATCCTGAACACCTTACAACAGTTGGCACCCCAGAGAGGGTGCAACTAAACAGATACCTGGGATTTGGCACCTGAGCTGCAAAAGACAGGCTATTGAAAATGGATTGTTTTCTGTTGAGACTAAAGAACAATTCCTGATCTTTTACTATTGGCCAAAGTTAATCTGATCTTGATTGTTTGTACCTCTGCAAACAGTGCATGCCGGAGAATAGGCTCGGAATTGAGTGAAGCCGGGTTAGCTGTAATTAGTATTAACCGTGAAAAGAGGCTACTGACGACTTTTGATAGAGATAAGCCAGACAATCAGAAATTTGTGCTAATGGGTTTCTCTTTTGTGGAATCTTTTCATTAATAATATTAAATATCAAATATCTGATGATGTAGAGGAGCAGTATGTTCAAACGCTGCTGCAATTTGCAAAAGCGGTGGGAATGCAACTTTGATGCTTAACGCAGCTACGCTGCAAGGTAAAAACCCTCTCTCTATTACTGATCTCAGCTGACCGGCCAAGCTGCCTCTCAGTCACACACAGATAGCCTGAGAGAAAACAAAAGCCTTTTCCTTTCTACTCTCACTGAAAGGACAGTCTAATGTTATTTTACGCTAAAGCAGGGTAGTACAACTGGTGGCCTGCGGGCCGGATGCAGCCCCTGGACCGATTTCATCTCCCTCCCTCCATTTCATCTGACCCATCCACTCCGTCCATAACCCATAAATATTATGTTATTGTTTCTGAAAGGGAAACACAAAAATATTGCTTATGCAGCCCGCAGACATTTCTCAAATAGAGGATCTGGCCCCCGGCAGCCAAAGGTTGGACCATCCTGCGCTACAGCAATATTGTCACTATGTCTTTATAATGGAAGATCAGGTACTGACATGGTGGATGATTGCTATTTTTATTGACCAATAAGTTCTGATAAATCTCACTCGAAGATATGAGTTTTTCTAAAAAAATGAGTTTTTTTTATTTTAAAAGGCCCAACACTTATTTTTGGACAGATTATTTTACTGTTGCTCTGTAACAATTATTATTTGGGAAAAGTCCAATTGTATCTATGATTCTGTGCGAGGTTCCCAAGCAATATACTCAGTTGGTAGCACTTTTGACTGAGTCAAAAGCATGTGGGTTGAAGCCCCATGTCAGGACTTTGAACTGACTAGTGTAGGCTGACACCCCAATGCAGTGCTGCAAGAACATTGCATTGTTGAAGGTCCTGACCTTTGGATAAAACATTTAAAAAAACAAGATCCTGTCTATCTGTTCAGACAGATGTTAATGATCCCACTACTCAATAAGGGAAGAGCTCCTCCCAATGTAATGGCTGACAATCCCCCAGATAAATGTTGTCATTTACTTGACGCTATTATCAACTCCACTGTGACGCACCAGATCAGGCACTGATGTGCTGCTCCACTGTACCATCTTCATATCAAACAATTTTAAATGGTTCATTTCTTGCCTGAAACTCAGTAGTTTCAGGGTACCTTAATCCATCTCATTTTGACAGACTTGATCACATCAGCTGAATCTGTAGAGAAAACTGCTTTAAAATGAAGAATAAGAGCCAGAGCAAGAGAAGTGTGCTTTCAGTCTGAATTAATGCCACTCAGAACTATTTGCAGAGTGTGCTTTGAATCAAAGGTTAATTGAAAGTGTATTGGATCACAAGTTAATTGTAAAGATATTGGATCTAAACCCGCAAAGTGAGACTGATTTCAACCCATTCCCGCACACTAGCCTATAGAGTCAAAATGAGTCAAAATGAGGATGCTCTGAAATAACAATCATCACACTCACACCTCACATCTCCTTAAACCATAGTTACGTAGAGTGATAAGGCAAGGAAATAAGCCACTTGGCTCAACTAGTCCTTACCAGTGTTTATACTTGCCACGAGCACCTACCCCTTCTATTCCCCTCTGCTACACCTCTCTATTCCCCTCTACTATACCTCTCTATTCCCTTTTCCTTCATGTAAACATTAAATTTTCTCTGAAATAGATTGATGCATTTTGTTTCAACCCCAGCTTGTGGCAGTGAGTTCTACATTCTCACCACTGTCTGTGTGAAGAAGTTCCTCCTAAGCCCCCTTTAAAATCTATTACTAGTTAGCTTACATTTATGCCCCTTCGTTTTGGACTCACCAAAGAATGGAAACAGTTTATCAGCATCCACAATATCAACACCCAGCATCAGTGATTGTCAGTGATAAATATTTTCCAGACATGTCAAAGATTTGCTCTTCAGAACAATTCCTTTTTCAGAATCAAATCTTCCCCTCACCAAATCCTGGCTGATATATAAGGACTATATTATATGCGCATACATACAAGAATTGGAAATATTTACTGTCTGTTGATTCACTATTGAGTTTGGGAACAGAGTGAGGGATGAGGTGTACATCAGTGCTTCAGAGCTCAATAGCACAATCATGCCATGATGCAAATTATGTGAAAATTAAATTCAAAAGAATAAGGAATTGTTAGGAACAGCTGTACAGTTTTAAGCGGCCTGCACAGATTTCATAAAAAGTATAAAATCCAACAGAATACATTCATCTTTTAAAACCTTCTTGTAAAATCAAATAAAAACTTGACAAAATCCGAGTAATACCCAGTCAAATCTAAGTAAAAATCTGGAAAAATCGCACGATTCTCTGTGTAGAGCTGGAGAATCAGCACAAGGGTAATGCTCATAGCTTCAGGCTTCTTTCCATGTTAGGCAGCAATCGGGAAACACAGTGGAATGCTGATGTTCCATGTTTCTCTCAGCTTGTAACTCCCACTCATTCACATTGCTGCAAGCTAATACATTTGCAACACCCCCTTGCCAGTGCGTGGCAACCTTTTTGCCAATTTGTAGATTTTGAAAGAAACTCACACAAGTACATTCAAGTTCATTGATTGCTCTGTTGAGCTGGCTTTCAGAAATGCCAGCAGCCATTCGAAACTTTGAGTTTGTGAAAATAAGTTGAAAATATAATGAAATTAACAGCTGTGTTTACTTAAAATTAAATTTGTTCAACTGAACCAGATTGACATCCAATATCAATAGAATTCTAAGGTTCTGTATTTAATGGCTAAAGCAGTGATAAATTCTCATATTAAATATCAGCAAAAACAGACCATGAAAAATGCATAGTTTAAGATATCTTATACCTTTTTTTATATAATTCATTTGAGAGATATTTAGTTACATCATCTACCACAGACATAAATTTCCAAATGTGTTATTGTTATTCAAGTGATGGTTTACACAGAAGTTTCAAGGACTTATAATTTTTATTGTTCGCCTTTATTACAGTGGAACTGATAGAGTAAAAATGTTTCCTGATCTTGGGGGATAGCCAATACATATACACAATCACTGTTCAAATCGTTGATCAAGTGTGTCAAATTGTTGATCACTTCTGCCTCCTCGTCCTTCTGACACAGTCGACCACACCATCCTCTTCCATCGACTCTCTTCCCTATCTACCTCAGTGGGACCGCACTTGGATGGTTCGAGTCCTACTTAACCAACCGCCTCCATTTCATCTCAGCAAATGGTTTCTCCTCCCGCCCCGGCCAGTCACTTGCAGGGTACCCCAGGGCTCCATCCTTGGACCTCTTCTTTTCCTTATCTATATGCTCCCTCTAGGCGATGTCATTTGCCAACACAGAGTAAACTTCCACATGTATGCGGACGACACACCAATCTACTTTGCCTTCTCCAGTATCAACTCAAGGTCCACCGATCATCTATCAGCTTGTCTGGCAGACATCAAGGCCTGAATGAATGTAAACTTTCTGTAGCTGAATGTGGACAAGACGGAAGCCATACTATTTGGCTCCCGTCAACATCTTCATTCCTGCGGACCTGAACACATCAACCTCTCTGGGCTCTCCCTCAGGCTCACCAAACCAGTGCGCAACCTAGGAGTCCGGTTCAATTCCCAACTGTCCTCCCTCCCCCACATCCAGTCCCTGACTGGGACCCCCTTCTTCCACCTCCACCACATTGCCCGCCTCTGACCATACCTTACCCCAAATACAGCCGAAACCCTCGTGCATGTGTTAGTCACCTCCCGCCTGGGTTACTCAAATCCACTCCTCGCCAATCTCCCCAGCTCCACCATTCATAAGATCCAGCTCATTCAGAACTCTGCCACCTGCGTACTGACCCGGACCAAACTCCGAACCCACATCTCACCAGTTCTGGCCAGGCTCCACTGGCTCCCCATCACTGAACGGATCGTCCTCAAGATCATCACACTCACGTTCAAATCCATTCATTCCCTGGCATCTCCCTACCTC